ACGTTTTGCTGGTTTGGATCCTGGGCATGGACATGGCACTGCTCATGGGGCAATGCTGGGGCAGCATCCACATGCTACAAGCAGAGGGATCTACAACTAAAAAAAATATACATGGATATGTACTGGGGGGATGTGGGGACAAAAAAAAAAGGCAGAAAAAAAATAATAATAGTTAAAGGAAACAATAACAAAACCCTACACTTCTTCAGCCATTCTCAAAGTGCTTAACTGCTCAACTCGTAATCCTTAATTCTGCCAAACCTGCACTCTCTCCATCTATGAGTGGATGTCTATATTTCACAAATACAGAGCTAACGTAATATAATAAATCTAAATTATAAAGCATTAATTATGTGGTAACATTATGACGTTAAGCTACTGAACCTCTTTAAATACTCACTAGTTCTCCCTTAATACAGAAATGAGAGTAAAATATGGCAAAACCTCAACTAATCGGAACAGCTGAAGGGTGAGTCATTGAATAATCATGCCTCTCAGATAACTGAAGGCTTATTTACAACTCTGAACACAAACTTTTTTGGTTACCTGTTCTGGCCAGAACACTTCGACTTGGGCCAACATTGTCAATATCAATGATTACACAGTAAAACGGTATCCAAGGACACACAAGACTCTGTCCTTATCCAAATGAGAGCCCCAGACTGTAGCAACCTTTGTTTTTATACTTTCCCTGTCTTCCGCCCTGCTGTCACATTCTGCATCCATCTCTCTCTTTCATTCCAATAACCAAGTGTGTTGGAACTGCATCTAAGGAAAAGGTACCTGGTTCTCACAACTCTGCTGGGCACCTAGAGCTCTTCCAAGGGAGGTAAATGAGTCCTAGTGTACAAGGTTCTGTGACTCTCTTTCATCTGCTGTGGAAGACTTTTTTAAAAAGCATTTCCTCAAAAGGAAATTCTGACACATGCTACACTATGGATAACCCTTGAGGATATTATGCTAAGTGAAATAAGCCAGTCCCACAAGGACAAAGACTGTATGATTTCACTTATATTAGGTAGCCAGAGTAGTCAAATTTATGGAGATGGAAAGTAGAATGGTGGTTGCCAGGGGCTGGTGGGAGAGGGGAATGGGGAGCTATTGTCAATGGGTACGAAATTTCAGTTTGGGAAGATGAAAAAGTTCTGGAATTGGATAGTGGTGATAATTGCACAACACTGTGAACATACTTAATGCCAGTGAATTGTAGACTTTAAAATGGTAAATTATGTTATGTATATTTTACCACAACTAAAACAATTCTTTTAAATAATGAAAATTTACTTCCTCATTATTTACTATGTTCTAGACAAGTGATGTGTTAACTGTATCTGTGTTATTATCATCACTCCAAGAAGGTTATTTTCTAATATGTGTAAAAATCAGCCAAAATGATCTCTTAAAATTATGATTCTAAAATATCATATACTATTTTCCACATGGAAAAAGCACGTTTTATAGGAACGGATCCATAAGAAAGAACACCAGCAAAAACACAGAGACAAGAAAGCATTCTAGTCTAGGTAGCACACTAATGTGAAAAGAAATGAAAAAATGGTAACTCACAGGTGGCCTCACCACTGAGCAAATATTACATAGCAGCCACCTCAAAGACTTTCCCAAAAAACTATGCGGGGTAAAAGAAAACAGTAATAACTTGGAATTCAAACCAACTATTTCAATAATTGCTAAATTTCTCAGCCTATCTCATGTTGTCATCTCAAATACAAGCATCCTGCACTTGCGGACAAACCACCTTCCAACTCTCCCAGACTACACAGGTACTCTCCGCCGCCCTATCCACCCCAGATCAGCCCAGTCCTTACTCTAGATTAAGCAAAAATACCAGAAAGGAACCTACACGTAGAAATGCCACCTTATAGCCTCTGCCTGCACAGCAAAGTGCCTGGCTCTGAAGTTATTCAACTATCAAACCAGAAAGTTCAACAGGGACTTATATCTTTTACCACAATATACCGACTACATCTTTTTGTTTTTTAATTATGTCCTTGAGTGATTATCTAAAGACAAAGCTGAATAAGCTTATAAACTTCCTCTTCAATAAGAGACTAGAAAATAAGTATATACAAATCTTCAGGTGCCTCTGAGTTATAGGCAAAAGTTTACAATCAAACTTGTTAAAACTTCTGCAGTGAAGTCATAATTTTTCTATTAATAACTTGTCTTTGTTCTTATCCTCTCTCCCACTTTTGTAAAGTTTAACAATGAACTTGCAACAACCTGACCACATCCTTTTTATTTTAAATCATTTTCCAATGGGGCTAGTACAACTTGCAGAAGCATAGAATCATATCAAAATCCCATTCCCCAAAGTCTAACAGTTCAAAACCTCCCAGGAAACCCAAATCCTTGGAGATTTTCACCCAATTTAACAACTGCATAAAAGGAGAAATATTTTTTCAAGTACAAACCATCACAGTTAGACAACAAACGCTACTTACCGAAAGAAAAATCCCCTGCCATAACAAAGCTGTACCATTTACTGATTATATGTTCTTTTACTCTCATTTAAATTATTCTGAAATTTTGGTTAACAGCCAAATAATTCTAGAAGGTAAAGTTTCAGGAAATTATAAGATAGAAAACATAAAAATACTTAGCATTCAAAATACCTGCCAGTATAATGGTATTCTGCTCTTTGGATTGTATTCATTCATTTAATTAAATATAACATGAAGTCATAACAAAAAGGCCAGTGGAGTTTGGAGAGTTCACCTTTTCTACAGACTTCAGAGTCAAATGATATCTGTTTACGCACCATCATTCTATAGCCAAGCCCAGTCTATCACTGAAAGCAAAGGCATCCTACAGAAGCAGTAAGATTATGGACAGAAAAAGCATTTTTTAAGAGAAAAATCAAAGTTTACAAAGAAACAAACATCAAAAGAGGAAATTTCCTTTCTTACATATTTTGTTTCTCATTTTGCATCTCTTTAGCTGCATCTCTCACAAATTTAATAAATTTTAAGTTAAATATCTGATAATGCAAAAACTAAAAAATCTAAAAAGAGCCACAAAAATCAAAAAGAAAACGGTGGAGCAATAACTAGGTGTCAATTACTCTCTTCGCTAATGATGCTATGAATCTTAGGGTAGAGGGACCAAATCCAGCTTAGCTGTTGGCCAACTGGCTAGCTAACTTAGTCACAGAAAAACAGAATTATTCAGCAGAATCATTTCACAAAAGAAAACCTTTGAACTTTGTGGACTATGCCCTATACATCCCTACCACAGGCCTCAGACAGTCCCCAACCTTCTACTACACCAATGTCCTTGCAGTTAAAACACAGGCCTTTGTGAGGAACTAACAAGAGTTCACTCACAATCTCTGAGTGCCCTCCTTTAGGAGCAGGAACAACAAAAGGTACAAGAATATATTAAAAGGCATCTGAGAAGGATAAGCAAATCATTGAAATACTTGCTTCAGCGGAGAATATAAAAAACCCAACTTCTCAGAGGTCTAACACAAAACACTATCTCAATCACAGGGTCAAAAAAATCACACCTGAGGGGCTGGCCCTGTGGCCCAGTGGTTAAGTTCACGCGCTCCGCTGCAGGCGGCCCAGTGTTTTGTCGGTTCGAATCCTGGGCACAGACATGGCACTGCTCATCAAACCACGCTGAGGCAGCGTCCCACGTGCCACAACTAGAAGGACCCACAACGAAGAATACACAACTATGTACCGGGGGGCTTTGGGGAGAAAAAGGAAAAAATAAAATAAAATAAAAAAATCACACCTGATATTAACTTTTAGTTACCTTTTGTTTTTGCTTTTATTGCTAGAGTTTTAATGATTTGATAAACCAGGCGAATATCCTGCATATATAAATCAAGTTAATTGCTGTCATTTAAAAGGTTGTTAAAGCTTTATATCCACATCCTTTCACTGAACTTCAAAAAATCAATTTTCATTCAATTTTCTCAGCAAATTCTAGGCTTTAAGGAACTGATTCATCTACTGACACGTTAAACTCTGACTTAGGAAAGTTCATGATTCATCCTTCAAACTTACTATATGCAAATATACCTGTATTCCAAAAATGGGAAGTAACAGATTAATACTGGGCCTCTGACCACAAGGATTCCCAAGAACCACAGATCCAAACCTGCAAAGTACTGCCTCAGCTACAAAGTGACCCTCTGACTAAGAAGTCTCCCAGGTCGGAATTTTTAGTTATTCTAGATGGTAAAAACCCTAAGAATTGTTATAAACGCATTTAGGGTCATGGTGAAAATGACCATTTTCCAGGTTTACTGGAGTTTCCAAACTCCAAGTTTACACACTTGCTGTCCTCCAGCTTAATTATTAATATTGCCCCCTTTTACCCTCAAAGGGCCCAGTTTTATAGCAAAACTCATCAGTGGTGACAGAAGTCAGAATAGTGGTAGCCTTGGGGAGGGGGAAAGTGTTTACAGAATGGGAGGAATGTAAAAGGGAGCCCTTTGGGAGGCTGAAAATGTTCTATAACTTGATCTGAGTGTGGTTACCAGGGCACATGCATGTGTGAGAGGTCGCAAACTTTACTCTTAGGTCTTATAATTAGTCAATGAAAAAAATACTTGATTTTAAAAACACTGCAATACACTTTTAAATGCCTTTGTTCAGATCACAAATTACATAAAGTCATCTTAGATATAGCTACCAAGAATTTTTTCCAAATGTATTCGAATAAAGATTCATTTTTGTGAGCACTTTTATGTAGAACCTTTCGAAATACAGATTCTGACTTTTTAAATATTTCATATTAATAAATCGCCGAATGTCAAAATCGAGAGCAAGCAGAAAGATGATCTACTCATTCTCTAATTTTGCAAATAAGGAAAAATAAATCTGGACAGGCTAAGAAATGTACCCCTCGATAAAGCAGCCAGTAGGTGACAACGGTAGTGACAACTGTTTCCTGATCTCAGGCCACTCCCGTTTCCACCAGGCCGTTACTTTTCTGACACTGTAAACAAATCTGAACTCTGCATTTACCTGTGGCCTAGAAGGATTCAACGTATCCCTCAAAACACCAGGCCAACGAGCCCAAAGTGTAAACGTCTTCCTTCCTCCTCTCAAGACAGCTGGGAAATGAACAATTCTATCTTCAGGCATTTTAAACTTGCGATGCGATAGAGTGTGACATCTTAAAAAATGTGATTCAAGAGGACAAGGCACAGGCAGGGATTGACAAAATCCATTTTATTTCCTTTCAAATCTCTCTGATGGTCACTTGGTTCTCACAACTACAGCGCTAAGTCGGACTCGGGAAACATCATCGCTGGGGGCCGTTCACCAGCGTGGCTTCGCGGGACCCGCCGGGAATAAGCCCCGGCTCCGGAAAACTCCTGTCTCTGCCAGGGGTGTCCTGCCTCCCTCCCCGCACAAGACCCGGAGGGGACCTGTGCTTTCCGGCTTAGTTTCAGACCCCAGGGAACCGCTGACATCTTGCGAAAAACTTAGCATACATCCTCTTTCCGCGGGAATTTATGTCTGCTCGCACAGGCGTTTCTGCTCCCCACCGAGCAGGCCTTGCTTCTCAGGACAGGCTTCTCGCCTGCCTGCAGCCTCCTCTGCAGGGTCCAAGACGAGACTTCAAGAACAGAAATCGAAACGCTCACCGACCTCCCGAGAGGCGGGTCGGGCCCCGAGCAGGGCGGCAGGGGTCGAGCAGCGGCTCCCCGGCGAGCCCACTGCCCGCTCTCGCGCGGCGCGGGGAGGCCCTGCGCACGCCGCCACGCCGGCCTCAAGCAACCGGTTGCGGTGGCCGCTGGACGCTCCGCAAACGCGCAGCGGCCACCCCGGCCCTCGGAAGTTCGGACCGCCGCACGAGCGGCGCGGCCCCGGCCCCTGCTGCGGGTTCGCGCCCCGGCCCCGGAGCGAGCCCGGGGGGCGGGTCCGCGGGGGCTCGGCGGGCGGGAGCGCGGGACGCGCTGGGAGGGGCGCGCGGCGGGCCCAGCGCGCCGGGGAACTTGGGCGCCCGCCGCTGCCGCCGCCCGGCCACTTTCCTTTCACGCCCCCGGGGCTGCCGCGCGCCGCGCCGCCCGCCCGGGGCTGCCGGCCGCCACCGCGAGCAGACGCCCAGGCGCGTTCCTGCAGCCCGGCCGGCCGCCGCGCGGGTCCGCGGGGGCGCGCGAGGCCGCGCGCGGGCGCTGCGCTCCCCCCGCCCCGCCCCCGCCCCCAACGTGCCGCCGCCGCCGCCCGTTGGCGCCTCAGCCCGCGCGCCCGCCGCCCGCCGGCTCCCGGCGGTTTTTCGTCGGCAAAGTTGCGCGGCCGCCTCGAGGGGGGCGCCCCGTGGTCCCCCACCCCAGCACAGCCGCCGCCCCTTCAGGCCGCCGCGCGGGAAGGCCCAGTCGGCGGCCCCGCTTTTTTACCTGCCGGGAGTTTTCGCGCGCGCGCTCGCTCGATCGCTCGCTTTGCCCCCTCTCGCACTCGTTTTCTTTCTTTCTTTCCTTCTTTTCGTTCCCCCGCGCGGGCGCTTTTTCCGCTCGCGCCGCCCGCGCTCGCCCGCTCGCGCCCTCCTTCCTGCTGGGCTCGGCGGAGCGGGGCGGCCGGCAGCTCTCCCCGCCCCCCTCCACCCGCGCTCCGGCGGAGGCGGCGGCGGCGGCGGCGCTCCGCGCTCCGACTCATTCCAATATGGCACGGGCGCAGGGCGCATGCGCCCGCGCCCCCCCCCCCATCCGCGCTCCTCCCGGCAGCCCGCGCCCCTCGCGCCGCGCGCGTGGCGCCCCCCGGCCGGGCCTCCCCGAGCCCGCCCGCGCGTCTTCCCGCCCCGCTGAGGCCGCGCAGGATGCCAGGCTTCCGCGGACTGAGGGGCTGGAGGTCCAGCGCCTCCAGCCGCCGGCCGCCCCCACCCCTCGTGCTCCCCAGCCCGCAACTTGCCGCGGACACCCCGAGGCCGTGGCGCAGGGCAAGTGGCGGCGCCCCAGCCCCCGACGGCGCTGCGGTCCCGCGCGGACCGGCCCGTCGGGGCGACGTGCCCCCAGGGACCCAGCGCCCACCCTGTCCCTGCTCCGACCCACGAGAGAAGGGCCCCGGCGCCTCACCTCGGGCTGTGGACGGAGCCCGGAGAACCCGGTGTCGTACCCAGATCGGTCCTGGCGTCCCGGCCGGGTGAAGCTCGCCGCTGTCGTCCGCACGTGACCGCCTGGGGCAAGATGGCACTAGCGGAGGAACGGACGGAGCGGCTGCCCGATCCCAGATGGGCGCGTGTCACCGCCAGAGACGGCTGCGTCCGCCCGCCTAGCCCACGTCGGGGATTTGGCGTGCCCTTTGCAACCTGGAAGGGCACCCAAGTGCCCCCTGTCTGCGAAGTCAGACCCAGGCCCGCCGGCGCACCCAGTGTCTCCAGGCTTCCGCAGGAGGCGCCCTGTAAAGCCGAGTTTTCCTGCCGCTCGGGGCCCTGGCGAGGGGACACAAGACGGCTGCGGAATTCGGGCAGGAGAACTGGGGGCCCCGGCTCAGAACGGAAGCTCGAAGGTGGCTGCAAGCCGGGCCCGCAAGCCGAAGTGCCCAGGGGCGGTTATATTCCCCGAGCTTGCCCCTTCCCCAGCGAGCGCAGGTGCCCGTAGGACACCCCCCTCCCCACCTGCTCTGGCAAGTTCCTTTAGAAGGGAGTCCCCGCGCCACGGAGACCCGGGAGTGCCCGGACCCAGGAGTGTCGGGAAGAGGTCTCAACTGGGCGCCGATGGCTCCTGCCTTTCAGCGAGGAGGAGGTGCCCCGCCGCAGGAAGGATGTCTGGGGTGCCGGACGAGGGCTCAGGCCACTTCCCACCGACCTCAGCACCGCGCTGGAAATATTACCCCACTTTACAGACAAACTTGCTCAAAGTCACGCTGATGCTTGGATTTGAATCCAGATTTCGTTTTTTTACTACCACTATAAAAGCAATATGAGACAACCAGAGAGAAAGAAAAATGTGAGAATAAAGTATCCACAATCCTACTACAGAATGCAACTTACGTAAAACCATCCGCCTATATACGTGTCTTTACATAGTTGCAACCACACTTCTCTTTTGTGTTTGCTACCATCAACATTTTTCTTTTGTGCACACGATTCATTTTTTAAGGTGTGCAGGTATCCTCATCCATTCACTCAGTCTCCTAATGTGGGATTTTGGGGTTCTTGACAATTGTTTGCTAGTATAGCCTTTCATTCATTCTGCGCTTGGGACAAATTCCTGCGAATTGAATAACCAGGTGGAAGGCTCAGGAACGCAGAGCAGACTTGCTCCCTGGTGCCAGAGGACTTTCTCAAAGAGCTGCCCTACTCATTCTACTGCCTCCCAGGAGCGAGTGTAAGGAGTTTAATATGCATTTCTAAGCATTGGATACCATCTCTTTTACTCCTGCTTTAATAGTGTCTATTGGTAGTTCAAGGTTACTTTAGCATTTCTTAGATAGCTTTAACAATGAATGTTTTCCATGTATTAACTATCTGTGGTTCCCTTTCTCTGAATGATCTGTTCATATCCGTTCATCTGTTGGGTACTTGAACCTCCTGTAATTTTGAATAAGAATTTTTTTACGTTATAGATATTATTCCTGCATCATCATTGATGCAAATATTTCTCCGTCCATTGTGCTTTTTTGTTTTAATGTTCAATCTGTCATTCTACTGTGATTTTTTTTATCTCTTCAGTACTGACAAAGTGAGCTTTCCACCACCCATCTGATAGTCTATTTTCTGCTAGTTTTCTAAAATTTCACTTTCTACTTAATTCTTCGATGATTATCCATCCCAAGTTTATTTTGCTGTGTGGAGTAAAATATGGATTCAGCTCACCACCGGCATCACCAGTTTTGATTGCTTATGCAGTCACCATTCATTAAATAATTCTTCCCTTACCCTTTGTTTAGTAAAATCTACTTTTATGCTAGGCTTTTGATTTTGGTTGATCTAGTTTGGAATTCTCCATTTCCTTTCAAGAATCTCAGTTTGAGCAGATACCATATGGATCTAAATATTGGTTCTTTAAAATAGGTTCTAACGTCTGACGGGGCTAAATTTCCCGCCATGGAGTCTTCTTTTATTCAAAATATCACTTGATATCCAGACTGGTTTATGTGTCCATACACCTTCTGGGTAATCATATAGGGGTTAAGAGTGCTGGCTGTGGAGATGGGACCATCCAGGTTCAACACTTACCAGCCCTGTGACCTTGGCAAGTTACTTAGCCCGCCTGGACTTTAGGGTCTTGGTCTGTAAAATGGGGATAAGAATAACACCTGCCTCACAAGCTCAGTGCCTGGCGCACGGTAAATGGTCAGTAAATGCCAGCTGTAGTTACAGATAGTTTCAGTTCCAAAAAAAAAATGAGACTTCATAAGGAACTGTATTGAACCTACAAATTAATTTAAACAGATCAAATATCCTATAATATTTCATTTTCTAAACCAGGACATATGCCATCTTTCTTTTTTTTTCTTTTTTCTATTTTTAATTTTTCCTTCTTCTCCCCAAAGCCTCCCAGTAGATAATTGTATATTTTTTAGTTGTGAGTCCTTCTCGCTGTGGCATGTGGGATGCCACCTCAGCATGGCTTGATGAGTGGTGCTAGGTCCACCCAGGATCCAAACCAGCAAAACCCTGGGCTGCAGAGGCAGAGCTCACAAACTCAACCAGTGGGCCATGGGGCCGGTCCACTATCTTTCAATTTCTTCAAATGTTTTAAAACTCAGAAGCCAAGTCCCTTGCTGACAGCAGCCTCTCTCCACTGCTCACCTGCGTGACCCCTGGGGAAGAGGAAGACCAGAGAGCCACAAGAAACATTTGAAAACTAGTATTCGAGAATCTGCCTTGTGCCGGGCCTTGTGTGGGTGTAGGCATGTGTGTGCATGCAGGAGATCTCCCTTAACCCTTGCCACATCCCTCAGGGTAGCTCATGGCATTCCCTATGGACAAAGAGCAAACTGGGAGCTCCTAAGTCACCCTTAGTGAGAGGCAGAGCCAGGCCACAAAACACATGTACTAGTTCTTCAACTGCTCTGCTGCTTGGAAATTCAGGTGGGAATTATTCATAGAAGAGGCAGCCGCCAGAGGAGCATGGAGAAAGTTGACTTTTGGTCACGGCACCCCCTTACCTAAAACCTTCCCAAGGCTTCCCGTTGCGCTTTGAATAAGTCCAAAAGACTTACTTTGGCCTACAAGACTGGCCTTGCCCACCCTCTGAACTCACTCACCAGTCACCACTCACCTGCCTTGCTTGCTTGCTGCCATTCAACTACACCTGTCTCCTTTCCAGCCCATAAGAATGCCAAAGTTCTTCCCACCTCAGGTCCCTTGCACACACTGTTCCCGCTGCCTGGCACATTCACCATCCCACCTCCTGCAACCACCTTCACATAGCTGGTACTTTCTCATTGTTCCAGTAACTGTTTAACAAGGTGGTCTCCTCTGAGAGGCCTTCCCTGCCCACCCCATCTAAACAGGTTCTCTCTTTCTCTCCACTAGTTGTAGTTCGCAATTGGTATTTATAATTATATCTGTATTTGTTTGTTGTTTGTTTGAGTTCTGTAATCCTGTCTAACCCTACAGATAGACATCAGTCCCCCTTAGGGCAGAGATGTACCTGTCTCATTCACCACAATGCTGGCCCTTTCTCTGACAGGCAGTGGGTGGACAAAAAGACGGCTAGTGCATCAGCTAGCAACATCCAAGACTAGAGGTTGGCATACCCAGGAGGCACCCTGGCCATTCACAACTCCGTCTCCACTTCCTACTGGCTCTGTAGGGTGAGAGTTATAGGCCCCTGTTCTCCCCGACCGAGGGGTCAGTGTTTGACCATCCCATATGAAC